CGAATTCAATTCGGTAAACAAAAAAATACCGAATTACCGAATTCCAGAAAACTGCAAGGGTCGCCAATATCTCTTCGTTCTCGTACTCACTCAGGCACACCACACAAATTTCAGCCTCTTCACGCTCAGCCTGTTTTACACCAGGTGTTGTATGATACCTTCTAGTCTTCAGATGTTGGGAGATGGTTTCTTCCAGCCAATCATCTCCAGGGCCATCCGATTCTTCAACATCAGCATTCGAATCTTCATACAGATCAAACACCGTAGGCTCCTGCCCATGACTCAGTTCAACCAATGCAGTCTCTTCTTCTGGCTCAATCCTAATCCGCATGAAGATATTTGAAAACTGGTAATCAGATTCTTGAAACCAGCCACCAGTATTATTAGTGTTGTTCTGCTCGTACTCCCCAGCCGGAGAAAGAAGTACGAGGTTTGCTGGTTGACTGATGTGGTGATGATTATCAAAGCCAGTTGCTGCTTGCACATAATTCCCTTGCATCAACATTGCAGTGTTGTATGGCAGAGGGCCAAGAGTGAAACAAGAGGCAGGTAGTATTGGATAATGGTGGCAAGGAGGATATTCCAGGCTGCTGAAACCATAAATGGGCAGCGGAGAATGAGGGTACATCGTAATCTGATTGGGAAAGTAAATATTTTACCGTTTTACAAAATTCAATTCGAATTCGGTAAATCCGAATTCAAAAACCCCAAAACCAAATTCGACCCTAATTCGATTCTTACTAATTCGATACCACCGATTTACCGACCGAATTACCGAATTACCGAATTCGAATTACCAAATTGAAATCGATTTCGATCGGTAATTCGGTAATTACCGTAATTGCTCACCCCTATCGTCCACCGTTCACGTATCTGGCCCAAGCGTTTTTGAGTTTTTTGGATGTTTGGGATCACAGAGGGCCAAAAATTTCACTTCGCTAACTATAGACGCATACTATTTGTGATCAGATGCTACGCGATGCATCAATGATTGATGTACATTAAAGCATAACTATTCATTGTATTGGGTAGAGCAAATTTCAATCATCTATCCTTCATATGGTACCACGTAACTCCCTTATCCACCGTTCACGTGTCTGCCCCCGAGCGTCTTTGTAATATTATAAGACGCTCGGAAAGATTCGATATACCACGTGTACTCTATCAATTTTATCCAATATAATAGATACTTTGCAAGAGATAGACTGGCATCATAACATTGAGTTGGATGATGTCATCTAAGTTGGAGTTCCAAACAGTACCAGGACAACATCGTTCAATATAAACGCCATTGTTTCATCAAATATATACAAACACTTACTTTTTCATCATCTCATTTTCATCAAATGCTAGAGCACGGGAGTAGTTCAATAAAAATACCAACAAACCAGTCAATCCCGACTACTACAAATCGAAAGTTTCCGAAGCACACGCATCATCCAATACCCATACCATAAGGATCTCTTTCTCAGTCTTTGCCTAGCAGATCGTGCACAGGGTGTGCAAACTCTCCTTCCTCATCAGCCACTGTGAAATCAGATACACTCCCCAAATTTCGATCAACGGCACCAACAAGATATAGGTGTTCATGTTCGACACAAAGCTGGAAGGACAAGATCAGTTGCAAGCGAAGTACTTTTTTTCAATGACGTGTCCGATCATCCTCCACTACTACGACACCTCATATTCCTTCTTTAATAGCAAGAGGTGTCCATGGATAGTCAAATACAAGTTAGGAGATTTCAACATTAAAACAGGGATCAATTTTTTCAAGATCAAGGCCTACATGAAATTGGCAACTGCTAAAGTACTAGGCAAGATCCAATTTTGGCCACCGAGGACGTAAATACTCTCTGATCAATTCACCGAGAAAAATATAGATCCGTGGCACTGCAACTATGCCCCCAAACAGCCTGCACTTTGTTAATCCATATCAGCACTAGTCAGACCCACTATGCCTCATCTCCTAATTAGGACAGGCACTTCGTTGGTCTAGATCCGCGCATCCACATCTGATATTGGATTTGGGTCTCGGCACAACGAATCAGATAGTGGATCTGATCCAAGTCCATCGACATCGCAGGTGGACTTCCAGAGCAACTTGGACTATAATATTTTTTAGAAGCAATCAATATCAATAGTTATATCAACTACCAAGGCCCACAATCAGTCCAATTTTAAATTTGGGGTCAAATCTCCAATTTAATTAGTCCATTGCGACCCAATCATATATTTCTTTACGTTTCACTACGCTTGTTCATGTAATAAGGGGTAGTTATCGTGGAATAAATTAATTGCTCTATTATATATCCATTGTGCATAATATTTCATGTTTTTCAACTTAATTAGAAAATTAAGTTGTATAAATGAACAACTTGAATCAATATCCAATTGCAATTTCATTAATGATAATACATCATCCGGGTATTCATATTTACAGTAACGGAGTTTTTGAATATACTCTCTAATATTATGTACATTATCAGTGCATTCTCCTTGATGTTATTGTAACGTCTATCCGTCACAATTTCGTAATTCTTAAACTTAGTAAGGAATTTATTATTTTCGAAAAATACAATGTACCTATCTATGGATATCAGACTCCCCTCATTACAACCTTTCACAACGATTTTCTCCCGCATCAGCTCACGAAACCGGCTAAACATATCATTGCAAACGTGAAGGTCTACTTTGGATCCGTGATTTTCCGTTACCTCACCAAACACATCCTGAAACTCGGGCTTATGCTGGTCATTAGGTTCACTGTCCAGAACGATGAACAAATCTAATACGCTATCAATTTGGTCACTTCGTTGGGCCACATTACCATTATTCATTAAAACAGTATTCCTACCAATCAACATGTTTCCATCGATGTTAATGAAAGTCACTTTGCACTTGTTATTATATCTATGTTCGCATTCCTGACCCAATTTCAAAAGTTTCATGTAATTGTGCCATACGGCATCACAAGCCATGCCTTCATCAGGGTCGAAGGTCTCATCGATGAGCGCCGTCTATGAAGAAGAGCGCTTTCTATTACGCACAAATAGCATTACGCGTTTTCTCAATATTGACCCCGTACTGTTACTAGTACCCTTACTAGTGAACAGTCTCCTTCACATAATGGACCTCGTCGGGGTCCCGAGAGCAAAGTATCTCTTCATACTCTCTATTTTCTAGCATAACGACGAGCAAATGTGTCATCGCGCGCATCAATTTATATAATGTTATTTTATTGCATAACCTTTATGTCAATCACCAACAGTTTTTTTTTCCTCTTCGACTATAGATTCCCTCTTATCCAAGTATAGAACAATAATTTCTATACTCTACTGGATCAATAAAATTGGCTCAATCAATGCATGAATAATGCAAAAGGACAAGTGTATGTCGCTGTCATTGTCAAGGATGATAAGAAAATGGCACTGGATGAGGGTCCCACACGACTGAACGTGTCAGAGTTTCAATCAGAAATGCAAATGCTACTGTTGAAATTTAAACTGAAATTCAAATTTAAAATTATCCCGCTTAAGTCCTGATTGCTGACACAAGTTCAGATGATTTTGTCAAGATTGTGACACGTATAAAGAGAAGAGAGAGAAAAATAGAACTAAAATTGGAGATTTGGAGTCTTTCATGTGCAATACTCCTGTGTTAAAAGATTGCGCGGTACACTGCGTTTTGAATTACTATAAGTGTAGGTGAATCAAGTGTAAGTGTGCCATCAAAAAAATACTCCCTCCGTCCCAAAATTTGGGACTTTTTTGGGAAACACATTTTTTATGTACAGTAGCATTATGGGGACACACTTATCTTATTCTTCCAATCGTACCCTTTGCTATTTACTAAAACAACAAGCTACTGAGAACCACTTATATTGCCATTTAGTCACTTTGACTAAAAGACAAAAACAAGTTAAAGTAAAACACACAATCGTTTGTAACTCTGGCTATTTCTTTATCTATTTGGGTTTCATAAAATCAACAAGATAAGCTCCAGAAGATTGACAACGGAAAAAGGTAAGATTTCTATGGTTCCGTCTATCACTTTGTTGGTGCTTATCTTTTTTATTTTTGTTTTGTTTTATGATCTTTTGATCAATTTGAAGTAGATAATCTTGAGACTTAGCATAATTTAACTAATCTTTTATTTGGCGCCATTTGTTATTGTTCCTTTTTTTCCTTGAAATTTGGTAGTTTATTGAAAATTTGTAGATGCATTTTTTAAAACATTTTTGTTCTCACGTCTCTTATAAAAATATTTTGACAGTTGACAATTCTGGCGTCTTTATACTATATATAATGAGATTATAGAGAGATTTGTCTATTGCACATATTCTGTTTGATAGTATTTCACAGTGAACATGGATGATCATAGTTTTCAAAATTATGAAATCTCTAGGAAAAAGTTGACAAATCTGCAAAGGCAAGCCATATTTGAAGCATTATTGCAATATAGTTATGGTAGGCAACTAGAAAGAGGAGTAACCAAAGTTATTGCAATTCAATTCAAAATCAGGATGAGGACAGTACAAAGAATTTGGGAAAGAGCAAAGTCTTCAATCATTAATGGAGATTCGGTTGACATCTCTCGCAGGTTTCCTAAGAGGGTAGGACGCAAGAGGGTAGAGATAAATTTCAGCACTATCATGAAAATACCTTTACGGTGTCAAACAAGTATTCATTCTCTATCAACCAAAATGAAAGTTTCCAAGTCCACTTTTCATTGACGAATAAAAGAATGTGTTATCAAGCCACATTCAAATGCATTAAAGGCTCACCTTACTGATGACAATAAATTGGTAAGCTCAAATTTTGTTTGTCAATGCTTCAACAAGAGAGTCTTAATGATGCACCTGTTTTCAAAAACATGTTCAATATGTATCATATTGATGAAAAGTAGTTTTATATGACTAAAGTGTCTGAGAAATACTACCTGCATCCTGAAAAAGAACACCTTATGAGTCTGAGAAATACTACCTACCTAATAGCCCTGATATGAATATTCTTGATATTGGATATTTTAGAGCCATTCAATCACTTCAGCATCAAGAAGCACCCAACTCTATTGATGAACTAATTTCTGCTGTTGAAAAGTCCTTCAATGAATTATCATCTGAAAGTCTCAATAATGTGTTCTTAACCTTACAACTATGTATGCTTGAAGTGATGAAGAATTTCGAAGGGAATAATTACAAAGTTCCACATATCGGGAAGCAACGGTTGATAAAAGATGGAAATCTTCCTTTGCAAATTGTATGTGATAAGGTGCTTATTGACAAAATCATCCATTATCTACAAGCATGAATGTACTAGTATTGGTTAGAATTTCCATGATATTTAAAATTTGCTAACTTCTAAATTATGATAAAGGTAGTGATAATGCTATCTAACTTATGATTGATTTCTTTTTCTCTATTTTGTTTTGAAGGTATATCAAGTCATGGATCAAGCTTCTGGATTTGGATTATGCTAATGTTTTTTGTGCAAAACAAGGGACTTGACTTTTGCTACTAATGCTTTTGTACAAAACAGGGGACTTGACTTTTGCTACTAAGTTATTTTTTAGGGTTGTTTATAAGATTTGGCTGTTGCTCAAATCTATTTTAGGGGCATAGATTTTGTATTTTGTTGATATGTATAGACAACCATGAATTCTTGGAAGCAATTAGTAGTAAACGTTGTTTTAGTCTTGGTGCTTTCAAATTAATCCCTTGCTTGGATGTTTAGGACTTCAACGTAATACACACTAGTTGATCATTTTGTTTTTTGTCTTTGACATTTTTTCACTATATTTATTTGTTTATTTGATACTAGAGACAAATTTAAGAGCAAGAACACAAGCTATATGATAAATTTTACCTTTTCTTTTTTCACCTTTACATTAAAGAAATTAAATAGTGATAAACAAAAGGGTAAGAAATGCATCTAGTATTCTTTATTTGTTTATCCAAAAAAAACTTGATTTGTATTATTATAAGAAATTTGTTCTTTTGTTAAAAAAAGATAGAAAGACAAGAAACAAAACTTTCATTGCATTTGCAAACACTTGTGCAGCTTGAAAAGAGTAAAGAAAGAAAAAAAATGAAAAGTAAGGAAAAAGAAGAACAAAAGAAAAAAAAAAGATTTGAAGTGCAAGAAAAGAAACGGAAAAAACGCAAGGAGCTAAAGTTCTGATGATGTGTTATGGCGGGGCCCTCCACAATTGTTTAGTGCAATTTGATAGTATAATCTTGACTTTTAGTGCATACATTAATCAGGTATTGGATTTAAGGAAGAAGACAAGCCTAATTTTACTGGTTCATTCTACTCAAAAATCAAGGCCATGATTGAAGAACTTTTGAAAGAATATGATAATGTATGCACCCTTAGAGTTCAAATGCCAATATCATCTGATCTTAATAACCCGCGCAACTTCATCACAAAGATTGCAAAGTATGACAAGGTTGTAAACATCCCCAACAGCATGACTGTGTTGGATGAACTTTTGCCAATTTCAATTGAAATGGCTAAGAGGAACTGCAAGGGCATATGGAACTTTACTAACCCAGGTGTTATAAGTCACAATGAGATATTAGAGATGTACAGGGACTACATTGATCCAAAATTCAAGTGGACAAATTTCACCCTTGAAGAACAGGCCAAGGTTATTGTAGCTCCTCGCAGTAATAATGAGATGGATGCATCCAAGCTGAAAAAGGAGTTTTGTCATGGAGCGAGCTAAATAAAAGAAGGCCACGTGTTTGATTCTTATTGGTGTAGTTAGGAGTTTGTTAGAAATTGATACCTTTATAAGCAGGCATCTCTGCTTCGTTGTAATCAGTTTTTGGAATTATTCCCTCAGATTCGTCTGAATTAACTTGAGGAGCAATCCTCATTTTTTCCTCCCAAATTTTCCTTCAATCTTTCCCCTTCTTAGCTAAATCCATTATTTCTGTTCTTGTAATTTGTTTTCCAGATTCAATTAATGAAAGTTGAAGTTCATTCGTTCACTATTTGATCGATTCATCATTAATTGGTTTCCTTCATTCGAGCTTAATTCCTTATGCTTCTTGCAAACTCTGGTTTCTCTGGTTTCTGTACCATAACAGTGGTATCAGAGCTAGCTACGAGCCATTGGGAGAAATGACTAAAAATCAAGATGAGATGAGGAAAGAGATAACTGAACTAGGGAGTGTAGTTAGAACTTTTGCTAACAGAAGTGATGGACTGGATCAAGCTGTGAGGATCATGGAACACAGGCAGGAGAACACTGAAAAGGCTCTCAAAAACCTGGATCAGAAATACGAAGGTATGATGAACATGATGGCACAAATGTTAGCAAAGCTGAATGACAAAGGAAAGGAGGTAGAGAGCAGCAGCTCAGAGTCTGATTCAGGATATAAGGAAGATGGCAGGAGAAGGGAGGTGCAGAAGGGAGTTATGGATAAGTCTGAGGCTAAGGAGAGCAAAATATTCACCAGATTTCCTAAGGTGTATCTACCAACCTTCACTGGAGAGAACCCAAAGGAGTGGATCAGCAAAGCCAACAAGTATTTCAAAATCAATGGAATAGAGGAAGAAACGAGAGCTGAAGTTGCAGAACTTTATCTCAGAGACAAAGCAGATATATGGTTCCACGGCACGTTTTCTGGCAGGAAGGTTATTCATTGGGAAGAACTCTGCAATGCACTTTGTGAGAGATTTGGAGATGGCTCCCCTGAAGAAGCTATAGAGGAATTCAACAAACTGATGCAGACAGGTTCAGTAGCTGACTACCTGGAGAAGTTCGAAATGCTCAAAGCCCTGGTAATGCCTTCCCTTCCCCATCAACAAGATTGTTATTATAAAACATGTTTCCTAAGTGGTACTAAAATAGAAATGAACAAAGACTGTAATGACTGCAAATTTGGTGTGGTTTCAATGCAATGTATATTTTACATAGCAATAGTTGAACACCTCGTTTGCTTGATCCAAGGGTTGCCTAAATTAAGTAAGGACTGCAATCCTAATGTTGCTGTGGATGAGTACTGCTCACTGTCTTCATTTTGGATAGTGAAAAACATTGCACTAGGGGTGAAAAAAGATGCAAATGCATTCATTTTCGTGTTCAACCCCGGTGAGGTCATCTTCCTTGAAAACTTCAGCAATGGACAATTGAAATATGTACAGGAGTGCAGCTTCAAATTGCTTGAAAGAAGATGTCCACAGAAAAGAGAAGTAGAGAAGTGTACAACAGTTATCTATGGTGTCTGCATTTCCATTTTGCAACTTTCTACTCTTGCTATATGTGGACACCAAAGTAAAATTGTGATTATGGAGGTTGGGGAAAGTGAACTTCTTAATGAGAAATCTTCCCAATCTTTGTTATGGTGTAGTCAAATTGACTTTAGTAAGGATAATAGCAGATTGGTTTGCGGCGTATTACCAGCAATAGTGTTTCAAGATAGGGCTATCCTACAGGTACATGCACCAGTGAAAGCTATACCAGTACTTGCTAATTTATTGGAATTAAAAGAGACAACAAATAGGTACTTTGGTCTGCAATTTCTGGCTGGCTTGGCCTGTAATGGCTACATAGGAATTCTCCTATCTGTTTCAAATCCAGGAGTAACAGCAGGACTTCTAACCTTGCTTGGTTGTGTTGATGCTAACATGCAAGACCTTTTAAAGGCAGTAGAGAAATTCCTTGGTTTGCATTATCCGGATCAAGTTGCTCTTAAAAGATTATATATGGTTGGTGGTGCTACTTCTAGAATTTCAGCTCTTGTTGCTCAGCTAAAACTAATTCCAGGACCTGATTTTGAGAGTGATGGGCAATTTAGAACTTTAAAGGTTGTAAATATTTTGGAGCCACAAGGCCTGGCTGACCACCAAACTTGTGAACTCCCAATTCCTTTACTTGATTCTTTTGTTTCAGCTATGCAAAAATTGGCAGCTGAACTCCTTTTGCACGTGCTTATGGAAGATCAATCTCAGAAGAATCAGCAAGCTTTGCCATTTTCTTATACTACTTGCTTGCTGCGAACTGCCAAATATCAATCTGAAGACTTTGTTTGGAAGCCTGGAACTTTGTTTGACATCCTTGAGGACAAGGATTGTTTAAGGGGGAGGCTTTGTCATGGAGCGAGCTAAATAAAAGAAGGCCACGTGTTTGATTCTTATTGGTGTAGTTAGGAGTTTGTTAGAAATTGATACCTTTATAAGCAGGCATCTCTGCTTCATTGTAATCAGTTTTTGGAATTATTCCCTCAGATTCGTCTGAATTAACTTGAGGAGCAATCCTCATTTTTCCCTCCCAAATTTTCCTTCAATCTTTCCCCTTCTTAGCTAAATCCATTATTTCTGTTCTTGTAATTTGTTTTCCAGATTCAATTAATGAAAGTTGAAGTTCATTCGTTCACTATTTGATCGATTCATCATTAATTGGTTTCCTTCATTCGAGCTTAATTCCTTATGCTTCTTGCAAACTCTGGTTTCTCTGGTTTCTGTACCATAACAGTTTCCTGAATTATTGTCCATCAGGGGATCTCTGATTAAGTATGTCTTTAAACCCAACAAGAAAAACTTGACTGCTGCAACTGCCATTTGATGTATCAAAAACATTATGGCCAATTTTCACTATATACTCAAGGAAAGAAGAGAAGTTGACCTAGATATCCCAAATTATGTAATAATGTTATCCTTTTGTTTTGTGGGTTATGCATGTGTATTTCTAAAATTGAAGTGTTCTAGTGATAGCAGAAGTAAATTGCTCGGAGCATATTTTGTATCTGAAGATTACACTATTGGAACTGTAACATTATATTGTACCTCTATAAGAAACTCTATTTATGTTTTCCCAATTCCCTTTAGGTTTTGTGTGTGCGTGTAATTTACCTTCTAATAATGAATCTACACTTCTTTTGACTGCTTCTAGGGATAATAGTTACTATCATTGGCCTATGGGATTGTTTTGTAATTTGTTGGTCCAAATTGCATAATGAACCAATACAAAATCATTCAATTCATGCGGTCAAATTTTATTAGAGTATGATGGTAAACATCAGAGGGCATAGTAGATTTGATGCAGTAATGCTTTTCAATGCAATGGGTTGATTTTTAAATGGAATAACTTGAGATCTTTCCATAATGCAATTGCCTCCTTAACTAATTTTATGTTTGATGAATACTTTGCTGGATGTCGTACTGTTTTGATTTCTTGCTTTGGTCACACTTCTCCTTGGTAAAGATTGGTATTTTTTGCCTTCACTGAACCAACAATAGAAGACCAATGAGGCTGGAGCAAAATTGGTTTTGCCAGCAATGGAAGACCTATGAGCCTGGAGCAAAATTGGTTTAGTATCAACATTCGCACAATAATTAAATTGACAACGGACGCAATCTTTGAGCAGAAATACTTCTTTTTTAGTGTCTAAAAAAAAAATAATAATAATCTTGACTTTTCAATTGAAGGGCATAACTGAAAAGTAATTTTAAATGTGGTTTGACTTTTCAAAGTGATTCAAATTTTGGGACAAGCAAAAAGTGGAAATATGACATTAACAATGGGACGGAGGGAGTAATGAATATGAAAGATATAGTAGGATTCTTCAGGATCGTGAAAGACTGTGATATAGCAGGTCGTGTTCTTGGGGGCACATTTTGCTTATCGTATGGGCACTTGGAGATTATTCATTGTGAAATTGGATCTGCTCTTCAAACTAATTAAGGGTCTTGAAGGAGACCCTGACGATGGGCCTGTTTGGAAGCTAGTTTTTTGACCAAGTTTTTTACCTACAAATTTTTTAACAACTTTTGCTACAAAAACCCCAAAAAACCTTCTCAAAATTTTTTACCTACACACTTCAAAATACCCAAAACACAAAAAAAAAAAATTCAACACACAAAAAAAATTCCCTTCCCTTTATTTCTTCTTCCACCCCAATCCCAACCCGCCACCACCGCCGGTGTCGACTACCACCTCCGTTTCGTCCCCCATCGTGCGGAGATGCGCATGGCTTGTTGATGGCTATGGAGAAGGCGCACGCTGGAGAAGGGCAAGGGGGAGGGGGTCGGGCTGGGGAAAGGACGGGGGGTGGCGCCTGGGTCGGGCTGGGGAAATGGTAGAAAGGGTGGCGGGGGGAGGGGGAGGGCTAGGGAAAGGGCGGGGTGACTGGGTCGGGCTGGGGAAAGGGCAGAGGGGGGTGCGGGGGGAGGGGGTCGCTGGCAGAGAGGGTGGCGGGGAGAGGGGGTCGCGCTGGGCAAGGGGTTGCGGGGGGGGTCGCGGGCAGAGGGGTGGCGGGGGGGAAAGGTCATCAAGTTAGGGAAATGGCCGGAGGAGGGGGTGGCGGGGCAGAGGGTGGTGGCGGGGGAGGGAGTGGGAGGGCAGAGGGGAGGAGAACGGGAAAGGGTGGAGAGGGGTGGCGGGAGAGGGGGTCGGTGCTGGGAGGGAACGAGGAGGCTACACAGAACGAAGAAGAAGAAAAAGGAAGAAGAAGAGAAGGGAGAAAAGAAAAGAAAAAGGAAAGAAAGAAAAAGAAAGAGAAAGAGAAAGAGAAAAAGAAAGAAAAAAAAAGAAAAGGAATCAAAAAAGTTTTTCATTTTACAAAAATTTCTACAAAATTTTTCACCTTACAAAAACTTCTACAAAAAAAATTTTCACCTTACAAAAACTTCTACAAAATTTTTTCAAAAACTTCTACAGTGCACTACATTAAAGTTTTAGACAAACTCCCAAAAAACTCAGGTTCCAAACATGCCCGA